CGCACTTAGCCCAAAAAAAAAAAAAAAAAAAAAATTCATTATATTCACAGAAACATTCATCCAAAGTAACTTCAGCTACACAAAATGCATAGACAATCTTATTTCTAACTTCCATAAAAGTATTCTCCCAAACTCTGAGTAGGTATTCATAGCTGCTCGGTATCATTTAATTAGTATACTAGTTTAAAATTTCTTTTTTAATAGAAGTTAAGTGATTATTGTAGGCAAGCTAGCATTCAACTTATTACATATTGTACATAAGAGATGTTGTTTCTTTTCATAATGTATACTATGCTATATACAAATAAATAAAGAAATGATAATTATCTACATTAAAAAAAAAAAAAAAAAAATTCATTATATATCAGCAAAATTATCATCAAATACTATAAATGAATTTTCAACAATTTTTTACTTGAAGCCTGCAAAAGATACATCATTGATGAAAACAACCTTCCAAATCAATGTACAATCACTTGCTATATTAATTAAACAATTATCATCCCAGTCTACAAAAGTCAAAAAAACTTATACAACTTACTTGCAATAACTGGAATATAAAATAGAATATATATGTTATTCACAAGTATTCAAGTATACTTTAATTTTAAAAACACAACAAATCCTTTAACACCATAGCAAATCCAACCTATAATTAATATATACCTTAAAATCTGATATCAAATATATATCCTTTAGTTTATCATGTTAATATCTGAAACAATCTGAAAATTAGTTCTTATATGTAATCAAATATATTCCAAACATTAAATTCAATTATATACAAATGAGTCTTTAATTAATCAACAAATAGAAATTGGTTAAACAATATACAATGTATTAAACAACATAAATTTTCAAGCAAAAATCAACTATTACCTATTTTCAACTAGAGTAGAGCTGATATCAATATTTATAGCATTAACTACAATACTATCCTAAGCATAAATAATAATCTTTACAAACAGTTAAACAGCAATTAATAGTATCAAATCTATTATATAAAACAAAATCAAAACTATCAAAAAACTTAAAAATATCCATTTGCTAAATACTATTTAACAAATTATCCAAAATTATAACATCCAATTAATTTTTCAAAAGATCAAAGCACATATCAGCCTGGAATATAATGAAACTGTAAACAAACTTATAAAAGAAGTCATTATATCTAAAAATATATTACTTGTCAATATTATCAATCAAAATACAAAAAACAACTCCCTATACCTTACCAATTGATATATATTTCAACTTGAAGTTCCTATTAAAACAAGAATCAAAAGATATTTATTTGCTCAATACATTATATAATAGAGATTACTAAATTACAACAGAATAAATATCAGTTTATACATCTATACAAAAATTAATTGAAAATATTCAATTAATAATATTTATCTCTCAAAAATCACAAATATAATAAATTTCAATAACTATAACAACCACAAATTTCAAAGCAAACTGTGAAACTTGGAACTTTTCACACTAACCAAATTATATTAAAAAAACAAAAAACATATATTCAAATAAAATATATATAATTTGTAAGCAGAAAAAGAAATTAACAATTTATTTATTTACTTGCAAACAATAAAAACACAATATTAAAAAACAAATAATTAAAATCTTAAATGAGAAAATTAGCTCACATAGTAACAAAAAAACAAAACATCAATTTTTTATCAAACTTTAAATACATATTAACTTTTAAAATATTGAAATTTTAAATCTTAATATCAGAGAAACAATTATATATATAACTGTTACAATAATATAAAAATATATAGACAATAAGAAAATTTAACAATGTATTACAAGTTTATTACAACAGACTCAGAGAATACTTACAAACAGTATAGGTAACAAGATGTAACAAATTTTTTTAATAGAAAGAATTATAAAAAATAATAAAAAAATAAAAAAATTTTTGAATATTAATTAAGAAATCCAAAATAGAAATTTTAATTGATTTAGAAATCAAGAATAGATATCTACATATAGTTAACAAATATATAATTAATTATATTAAATATTTATCTAATATAAAAGAAATATTTACAACTAGTCTTTATTCTAAGGGTATTGATAATAATCTGATAAATTAGTTATCTTAAGAAGATTCTAATATTTTATCTTATAAAATAGGCAAAAAGCCACATGGTAAAACAATCCTAATAAGTTTACTTTATAGTTTAAAAAAGTCATTGACTTCTTATAATTCTTTGTATGTATATATTACTGTATCTCAAATTAATATTTTAATGAAATTAAACAAGGCAAACACCTATCCAATTAAAAAAAAAAAAAATTCAATATAATACAAAAATGGATTAACACTTATTTATCACCGGATGTCTTATTTATGATGCATTGTTATTACAATATACTGTATATCGGAATTTATTCGGGAAAATTTGATATGCAAACAAATGTTATTATTTCAAATTATATTTCTCTCTTGGTTTTCATTCACTTCTTTAATAGCATACATCAAAGGCATAAGCTGAGTTTAACTAAAGTCACCTTTTCCTAAACGCACTGTATTATATATATAAGACTAAATGAGGCATAACAATCAAGAAGACAGCACCATTGACTCACCGTTGTTGAAGGTAGAATTCGAAGTAGGAAGGACCTTGATACTACAACCTAAGCAAGTTGTAAGAGGTAATTTACAATGATAAGAATAATTTACGTTGGTCGCGTTATTCAGTTTATACAAATATTGCAGGCACCGTAGTACTCATAATACCAGAGGGAAGTAGGTCATTATGGGTTTCCGGAGTTAAGATCAGATTTAGAGGTGAGATTCATATAAAACAGACCTAACAAACATTATTATATCAATTATTCAAATCTCAATATTTAAATCTCAATTGTTTTTAAAGGGCAAGAAACTGCTTCTGTTAAGTCAAAGGACGCTGAAACAGGGGCATTGCGTCGTGCGAATGTTGCACGGACGATATACTTCGAACGTAATTATGTTGTCTGGCCTAGTCCTTCGGAAAGTCAACCGAGAGGTAATTTAAATTTAAAGCGTCTTACAAGTGTGTGATGAAATTATGATTTTAAAATTTCTGCAATCAAAGCAAATGAATATCGTCCCTGGTCGGAGCTTAATACAGGAATATATAGATTTGATTTTGCGTTAAAGGTAACAATTTTGGAAACATTAGATTGAGGGTTATGATAATTTTAATCATTCGATTATTTGTTTATAACTTAGTTGCCAGCCGTTAATTTCCCCCCATCGATCGAGGTAAACAATAAATTATCTGATTTATTATTTGAAAAATTTTACTTAAAGAAAATTTATCTTTACGATCTAAGGGTCCTAAAGGATTTTCAATACGTTATCTTTGGCAACCAATAATAGAAGGTTCAGGAGGACCCCTTGTTGAAGGTCCTGAAC